GTGCAGGCAGAATAATGGGGGTGGGGGGAGCAAAATTTAGGTAGAATATGGGGAGAACCCCAGGAGAACATGGGGCTGGTATAGGGAGAAGGGGAGTGTGCCTTCCTCCTCACTCCCTCCCCCCCCCCCAATCTGAGAGAGCGAAATAGAAATAAGAGATTTGGGGAGGAGAGGGCTGGTTTCAGAACTAGTAGAAGGAGGCGGGCCTGGAATTTGGAGGGAGAGAGGTTCTGCAGGGGGAAGCGGAAGGGGAGCCCAGAATCTCAGGGAAGAGATTCCTCTAGGGAATGAGTGAGTGGTGGGGAGCTGGGGTCTGGAAGGGACGGTCGAGTTGGCAGGGGTGTGGGATTTATTCCGTCAGCAATTGTTGAACACTTACCACATGCCTAGAAGAGAGGATGGGGGAGCGAGGCGGGACGGAGCCTGCGGACTTTGTGGAGGTGAGGCAGGCAGGTGTGTGTCAGGGGAGGGTTGAATTCGGAGAGAGTATTCAGGGGCTTAATATCTGGGCACTGAGATGGAGGCTAATGACATCAGGGCAGTTGGATGCGTTATGGCTCTGTTATCTAGTGAAGGGCTACTACCTTCGGCGTGAGAATGGGGGTGCTTATGTCGGGGAGTGAGGAAGAAGGACAGGGTCGGGTTGGCATCGGGGATGGGGTGGGGCGGGCCGCCTTCCTCCTCTGTCTCCTCCTGGGAGTTGGGTACCACGACTTGGCAGTGACTAGGGCTGTGAAGCTCCGCGGCTCTTCAGGTGTTCCGCCCGCTGCTGCCTCCAACGCCTTGGTAACCAGGGCGGCGTGGCCGCTGATTGGCTCGCGGAGTCTGAGGGCGGGTCGGTGGGCGGGGTCTAGGGCACCCGTTGGGGCAGGTACAGCGCTGTCTGGCGCCGGGCGTTGGGGGCCAGGGGTGAGGGATATGTTGAAAGCTGGAGCTGTACGGACCTCCGAATCTCCAGAGAATGACAGCACAATTGAGAGAGTGCTAGTTTTCTGGGGAAAGAGGGTTCCAGATTTCATCAGCCCCTCCAAAGCACCAGAGACCCCTCCCCCAACTAAAGTCAAGAGCTTGAGTCTAGAGACAGGCTGTCAGGACGTGTGGGGGCTCGGGCAGTTGTTCTTGGGCCTGGAGAAAGGAGATCTTGTCAATGGGCCTGGGGATGATATTCTGGGAGCCCCTGAAATTACTCAGTGGGCCTGGGGGTGATATTCTGGGAGCCCCTGAACCCTCCCAGGACAGATGAATAAGCCCATTAAGGTTATGGGCTTATTCATCTGTCCTGGGAGGGTTCAGAGATCTCATTACACTCTCAAAGGTTAAAAATCGCTGTCTTAGAGTTTCAGGGTTCATCTTTTTCTGCCTCAATTTTCCAACATCAGACTTCAGGAAGGACTTCCTGGGGAGAGCGTGAGGACTAATGGAGGCGGTGGGGAGAGAAGGAGACCAGGCATTAGGATGGTCACCAATCTAGGTTAAGGGCAGCCCTGGGTGGCTCTGTCTTTGGAACAGCTGTGCCACTCTGCACAGGGCTGTTTTTCCTTGCTGAGCCTCAATGACCCGATCTGTACACTGGGGAGGGAAGCGGCTTTCCTTGTCTCTATAGTCCCTTTCAAGCTCAGAAACAATAAAGCAATAATAACAATAATAATGGCGAGGATGCCGGTCTGTATTGAGTTCTTGCTGTGTGTCAGACATGGCTCAGTTTCCCCAAGGATTTAGCATGATTAACTTATTTAATCCTTACACCAGTCCAGGGAGACAGGCCCTCTTATCTTCCTGTGGGCTTACAAAGGCCTGCGTGAACATCATCGGTCCCATGTCACCTCTGCTCTCGGCACTCACCCCCTCCCTCCCTCACGCTGTCCCCCTTACTGTTCTTAGAACAAACTAGGAACAACTCACCTTGGGGCCTTTGCCTGGCTGTTCCGTCTGCCTGGACACTTCCCTAGGTGTTCACTTGTCTCCTCCTCTCCCTCCAGGCCTCTGCTGGCCACCCCCACCCCCAGCGTCCCCTGTCCTCACTGCTCGACATTTTTATGTCTCTGGATTGTCGCCACCCTCTTGAGGGCACGGCCATAATCTGGTCTCATCAGATCCCCAGCACCCGGAGCAGCTTTATAGATAAGGAATGTGCTTTATAGATAAGGAGTCTGGCCATAAGGGAGATTAGGCGACTTGCCCGCCTCTGTACACAGCTGAACCTGGACATGAACCCAGGTAGCCTGGGGCTCCCATTCCAAACCAGCTGAGGCAGGAGGCCTGACCCTCTTCCAGCTCCTGGTAGAACTAACATTGAGAAGGAGCTCTGTTGGCTGAGAACAACAGACTAATTAATAAAATCAGTGATTAATTCAGTGTGAATGATTTAAGTGTGTCCTTGATAGTTTGTGGCACTGGCTGTTCTCCCAATGTGGACCTCGTTCCCTAGGGAGCCACATGGCCGGCTCCTCACAGAGGCGTGCCCCGACCCCTTATTTAAAATCTCTGCCCCACCTGACCTCCATACTCTGTCCCCCTTTCCAGCTGGATTTTTCTCTGCAAATGTTTGCTGAATGAATGAATAATTCTAAATATATAATGAGTATAAGGATTAATAAATGAATGATTAATAGTATTCATCGTGATTCTTTTGTCGGAAGTCATATATACCACTAGCCAGCATGTATTGGGCTTCGTAACGTGCAGGACAATTTTACACGCTTTTATGTGGATTGCTCAGTTTCACCCTCATGACAAGTCTGCGAGGTTGGTGCTCTTACTGTACCCATTTTCCAGGTGAGGAAACGCAGGCACAGAGAGAGGAAGTCTCTTTCCTAAGGTGCCACAGCTCGTAAGTGGTGGAACCAGGACGTGAATTTTGGCTTTCTAGCTACTGAACCTGAACTCTCAGCCCCTCTGGGTCTCTGTCTCGTCCCTTTCTCCAGTGACACTGGCCATGGACCAGCCAGCTGGCCTGCAGGTGGACTACGTCTTCCGAGGTGTGGAGCATGCTGTGCGGGTGCTGGTGTCTGGGCAGGTGCTAGAGCTGGAAGTGGAGGACCGGATGACAGCTGACCAGTGGCGGGGCGAGTTCGATGCCAGCTGTGAGTGTGCCTACCTGGTGTGGGCTCGCCTGTCCTCCCCAGAATCAGCTTCTTCTAGAAGATGAGGCCAACCGCATCCTGCCCACTGGCCTCTTCTACCTGACCGGAAGCTCTAAAGTGGGAGGGGATGTGGGACTCATCCCTCAGGCCAGAGGCCCTGGAGTCAGGGAAAGGTAGAAGGCTTGGGTGCCTTGCCCTTGGGTGGGACAGATGGTCAGGCCTCAGGAAGGACTTTTCTCCCCACGTAGTCATCGAAGATTTGACTCACAAGACGGGGAACTTCAAACAGTTCAACATCTTCTGTAACATGCTGGAGTCGGCCCTCACGCAGGTAGGGACCGGGGTGGGGGCGGGGGGAAGTTTCTGTCCCCTGGATTCCTTGGGGGTAGCTGGCCATCCGACGTCTGCAAGACCCTTTGCTTTCTCTTTCATTGAGGGGGCGGGGCTCTCTTTTTCTTCTTTCCCAAATGTAAATGGCTTCTTCTGATTCTGAGAGTTATTCTCATGTATTAAAGTCAAGTCACAGAGAAATAAATGTAAAGAAGAAAGCAAAAGTCACTCCACTCCTAATAATCATTCCTGGCAATGTTTTGGTGGAAATCACTCCGGTCATTTCTCCATTCTCTATGCACGTGGGAAGCTGCGTGTGCACATTTGCAGACCTATAATTATGTGTAGTTGCTGTATTTCCCAAGGTATCCTTCAACCTGTTTTTAAAAGATTCAACAATATTTCATAAGAATTTAGTTATGTCAGTGAATATAGCCAATCATTTATTGCATTTCCTTAGCATCGTCAGTGTGCCAGGCACTATTGTCAACACGGCAGTGAACGAAAGAGACAAAATCTCTGTCTTCACGTGGGTGACATTCTAGTGGGAGAGAAAGACAGTTTAAAAGGATATCATGTCAGGTCGTTACAAGTATCGACGGGAAAAGAAAAACCCGATTGGAACTCAGAGTGACAGGGATGTTATTTAGATGCCATGATTGCATTATTTCTCTGATGACAGATAGAACATGCGCTTGTGTCATTGTGGCAGTAGTCATATGTGACTTGGAAACTGAGTCCCTAAGCATCCCCTTTCTGTGTCCCACCCGAGTGTTAGCATTGAGAATCTATAGGCGTAAAAGCATAAGAGCCAAGAGCACGCACTCTGAATTCAGACTCATCACTGCCACGAGCTGGGAGCCGGGGCCAGTGACTTCCCCTCCGTGCCTTAGCGTCCCTCTCTGTAATGTGTGGGTGATAGCAGTCTGCATTTTGTAGTGTTGTGAAGATTAAACGAGTTATGTGTTAAAAGCTTAGAGTGATGCCTGGCTCATAATACATGCTGTACAGGTATTGTCTGTTACTTTTATTATTGTTGTTGTGGTTGTTGTCATCAACCTTTGAGTTTGTCATCCTCGTTAGCAATTGCTTTGTATTGCGTTGTACCCACGCCTCGTTACTTCTGTAACCCAGTGGTTCTCAAACTTTTTTTTTTTTACGCCTACAGCACCTGGTCTTCCTAGGTGGTCTCCCATCCAAGTACTACCCAGGCCCGACCCTGCTTAGCTTCCGAGATCAGACGGGATCGGGCACGTTCAGGGTGGCATGGCCGTAGACTCAAAATTTTTGATCTCAAAATCCCTTTCTACTCTGAAAAATTATTGAGGACATCAAAGAGCTTTATTTATGTAGGATTTATCTATCAATATTTGTTTGCCATATTAGAAATTCAGAGAAATTTAAAGATATCTATGAATTCATTTAAAAATAACAGTAATAAACCTATTCCATGTTAATCTCAATCACATTTTTATGAAAAATATATTTTCTAAAACAAATTAGGAAGAAACGTAGCGTTGTTTTTACATTTTTGCAAATCTCTTTAATGTCTGGCTTCATGGAAAACTGCTAGATTCTCAGATGTTCTCCTGCATTTAGTCTGTTCTATGTTTTGGTTGAAGTATATGCAGAAAAATCTGTCTCACGTAGTTATGTAGTAGGAAAGGAAGCCCTTTCATAACTTCTTCAGATAACCGTGCATATCTTTCTTTGCTAACACACAAGAAATTGGACAGGTGATAGTTCTTTAAAGGTTGGTGGCGGTGTAGAATCTGAAGCCATATTGGTGAACGTCGTGTTCTGTTACGCTAAAATCTACTGCTGCATCTCGCACGTTGCCTGCATCTTTTACCCAGTTTGTAACGTCACCTGTGAGCTGTACTGACCTTCCAAATGTCGACGCATTTCATTATACAACATCAGGAAGTCACATTTGTTAACATTCTCACAGACCTCACCAGGACGGTCTTTTAATATTGAGAGGCTGTCAGGCACACGGTGGCAGATCGTTTTCCAAAATCGCAATTTTCACTTGGGCGTTTGAATTTTATCATTGGCAACAAATACTGTTAGCTGTTTTTCTTGATGTGGCAGGTTCACTGTTCATTTTTGAGAAAATGCCTTCTAGGCACCCAAGTCTGAATAACCCTAGTTTTGTTTGGCAGTCATTCATTCAAGTAAAAGTAGCGTGCCATGAAAAAGTGGCAAGCTTAGCTTAAAACTCAATGGCATAAGTGCTTTTTCTGAGACAACAGTCGTGCTTTGGTGAGCAGCAGGACATGTGCTTCCTGTTTTGTCACAGAGTAGTAAAAAGCTGTGTACGCAAGGGTTCAGGTTCTGTAAATTAACAATTTTTACGGTGTCATCAAGACTATTTCCAGGTTTCATTTCCTGTGTTTCGTCTGTCTGTCTGCCTGTCTGCCTATCATCTATTTATTTACTTGTTTACTTCTCCCTCCTGGCCCACCACTGAGACTGCATGGCAGTGGAGAATACAATGACCGCTAGCACATTCGATGCCACCAGCTGAATTTCTGCTCATGGGCACCACCGTATTTATCCATTACTTTTGCACCATTAGTGCAAATGTCAATACAGCAAAAAAGGCAAATGACATCTTAATATTATTCTACAAATTGTTTTGACTTCTTGGACATTCTGAAAGGGTCTCAGGGACCCTGAGGGGTCTGCAGACAACACTTAGAGCCATAGTCTTAAGCCGTCCCCAGTGGTCGAGCATTTAGGTTCTTTTCAGTTTCTCCCTGATGACGTCCTTGTGCCAGCACCTTGGACAGGGCCATCTTGCTCATCAGCCTCAGTGTGGGTCTGGCCAGCTAGCCCAGAGAACCGGCCGGGGTGTGGCCTGGGCTTTGTGGGGGCGTGGCTTGGGCTTTGTGGGGTGTGGCCTGGACTTGGGGTGTGGCCTGAACTCGTGGGGGCGTGGCCTGGGCTTGGGGGTCGTGTGCTCTGGGTCTTGTCGCAGCTCCTCCCATTCTCACAACAGAGCAGCGAGTCGGTCACCCTTGACCTGCTGACCTACACAGATCTGGAGTCCCTGCGGAACCGCAAGATGGGGGGCCGCCCAGGCCCCTTGGCCTCGAGATCCGCCCAGCTCAACTCCAAGCGCTACCTGATCCTCATCTACTCTGTGGAGTTTGACAGGTGCGACGAGGGGCTGACTCTAGGCTGACACTGGTGGGCAGGTAGGAGAGGATGTGGTTAGACCTCAGGAGCCCCAGGTACCCAGGGCAAGGCGTGAACGTCGCTTCAGCCTTGCCTTTGGAATCTTCAGTATTGAGGTTTGTATCATTCAATACTGTGTTTGGCGACAAGTAGCACAATAGCCATTACTAGTGCCTTAAACAAGCCATAGTTTATCGCTTAACAAGGTGTCTAGGGAGGTGGTGGCAACTCAATCATTTCATTAGAAAAGTCGTCTCCTGTTTGTTTTTTTTTTCCCATCCTTAATGTGTTGGATTGTCACTTCATCCGTATCTCTTCCTGGTCAGAAATGGCTGCTGGACCTCCAGGCATTGTGTCTGCAGCAAAGCAAGAGGGAGCAGCACAGAGATGCGCTTGCTAATTGTACCTATTGTTTTTATCAGGAAAACCAAAGTGTTCTCAGAAGACTCCCGACAGATTTTCTATAATATTCGGCCAGAAATGATAACTTGGCCTTTTCCATAATATTTGGCCAGAAATAGTCACATGCAAGGAATGCTGGGCAAATGAATATCTGGCTGTCTAGTCTTTAGCGGGAGGCAGCAAGGGAGAAAGGCGTTGGGAATGGCTGTTGGGTAGCCGGGGACAGTGTCTGCTCCCTTTGTTAATAGCTCCCTGATTTTCTGGTGGGAAGTTATCATGTTACCAAGTGCTGTTCTATGAACAGCACCCGGTGGAGCAGTTAATCAAGATGCCCTACCTTTCGCCAACCAAGGGGGGACCCAGGTCAGGCCATCTAGAATCTCTTACCAAGGAATCTCAGGGTTGGGCGTGGCTGCAAGTCACATGACCCAGTGGTTCCACGATTGCTCTATAAGAGAGTCGTAGGGGTGGCTGACTGGCGCAAGGAGCAATGGGCGTGGGGGCAGGGAGGGGGCTGGAATTCGCATTTAGGACCTGAGCCCCTAGGAAAGTGAGGTGTTTGGAACGGAGCGTTTTCATGCTCTCGGGCTCTTGGGGTCTGGTAGTGCCCTTGGGGGATCCTTGGACTCTGAGATGCCACGGTTCTAATCCTCAGGATTCACTACCCGCTGCCCCTCCCGTACCAGGGCAAGCCGGACCCCGTGGTCCTCCAGGGCATCATTCGCTCACTGAAGGAGGAGCTGGGCCGCCTTCGGGGGCTGGACCACCAGGACCCTCGGGACCCCCGGGACTCCGAGATCTGGCACCTGCGGGAGCAGTGAGTCTGGGAGAGGGGGCAATTGGGGTTGGGGGGCTCATCCCATCATGCATTGCGGGACCCGATGACTCTTAGCACCGTTGGGAGGATGGCGGGCCTTCGTTCACCAGATATTCTGAGCCTCTCTGCGCTCGCCTCGTGCTGGGTGGTGCTGGGGACAGAGTGGCGACCGAGACAATCCTGGCCCTGCCCTCCTGGGACTCCCACTCCAATGGGGGGACGGATCTGTCTGTAGATAGTGAGGACTCAGAGTGGGTGGGGCGAGGGATCCCAGAAGCGGCCCTGACCCTCTCTGGTAAGAGGGGTGTCCCGGGCCAAGGGGGCAGCACGTGTGAAGACAGGATGGGCCGGAGCGCTCTACTCAGCGCCTCCTCTGTGCTGGCTCCTCCCCTATCCCTCCTGGAAGTGGCCCAACAAGGGGACAGCCAGCCAGTGTCACGTCAGCACCTGAGTGTGTCATTGCAGAGGGAGATGGGGTTAGTGGGGAAAGAGCCTGGGCTGCGGGAGGCTGGGACAGCCGCCCGATGGGGTCCTGGGGTGGATCAGACAGAGGGGCGAGGACGTGTTCTGGGCAGAGGGGGCAGCACGTGCGAGGCCTCGTGTTAGGGTGGGGGCGTGGTGAGAACGAGGGCGCTGGAAGAAAGAAGCGAAGAAAGCAAAGGTTTTCTGCACGTTGAGTGCCCGCTGTGTGGGGGACTCAGTCTCCACCTGGAGGGATCCCCACTCATTGGGGAGGGCTAAGAATATTTTTACTAGTAGCAACAGCAGCAGTAATAGTAGTAGTAGTAGTAGTAGTAGTAGTAG